ACATGGCCCATTCCCGCTGCCGCCGGGACCGCACCGGACCGGCCCCGGCCCGCCCCGGCCCTTCCGCCGCCGAGCCACCACTTCCTCCGCCCCGGCGCTCTGAGGCGGGGCCGGTTCAGCGCCGGCGATGGCCCCGGCATCACCTGCAGGATCGGCCCCGGCATCTCCCCGGCTCCCGGGGTCGTCTCGGGGTCCCGGTGCCGCCGCGCAGCGCCCGGGCCGCTCGGCCGCCATGGCGCGGGTGCAGGTGGACCGGGCCTTCCCCCGCTCGCCGCGGGGCGCGCTGAAGATCGCCCGCACGGTACGGCCGGGAGCGGCCCGGGGCCCGCGGGCAAGGCTCGGGCCGGCGCTGACCCCCGTCCCCTCCTGTCCCGCAGCTGGTGGCGCTGGCCGCCCTCCTGTGCTTCGTGGCCTCGGGCGCGCACGGGGCCTACACGGCGCTGGCCGGCATGGAGACGGTGATCACCGCCCTGTTCCTGCTGCTCTACCTGCTGAGGCTCGACTCGCGGATGCGGTGCCTCTTCTGGCCGCTGGCTGTGAGTACCCGTGGGCTCCGACTGCCGGGGTGCTCTGGCTCTGAGTACTGATGGCTGTGAGTACCCGAGTCCCCGGCCGTGAGTATTGATGGACTCTGGGTAGCCGTGTCCCCTGGCCGTGGGTACCAATGTCCCCTGGCTGTGGGTATGGCTGTCCCCAGTGTCCCCTGGCTGAGGGTACCAATGTCCCCTGGCTGTGGGTATGGCTGTCCCCAGTGTCCCCTGGCCGTGGGTACCAATGTCCCCTGGCTGTGGGTTCTGCTGTCCCCTGACTGTGGGTACCACTGTCCCCAGTGTCCCCTGGCCGAGGGTACCAATGTCCCCTGGCTGTGGGTATGGCTGTCCCCAGTGTCCCCTGGCCGTGGGTACCAATGTCCCCTGGCTGTGGGTATGGCTGTCCCCTAGCTGTAGGTTCTGCTGTCCCCTGACCGTGGGTACCACTGTCCCCAGTGTCCCCTGGCTGAGGGTACCAATGTCCCCTGGCTGTGGGTATGGCTGTCCCCTAGCTGTGGATTCTGCTGTCCCCTGACTGTGGGTACCACTGTCCCCAATGTCCCCTGGCTGTGGGTCGCTGTCCCCTGGCTGCTGGGGCCGCTGGCTGTGAGCAGCAGCAGGCCCGTGAGCAGGAGGGATCACCTGTCCCAGAGGACGTTGTCAGCGGCTCGGTGATTGTTTCTGTGCAGGTAAGGCAAGCCCCAGGGCTCTGTGGAGGTTGAGGCAGTTTCTCCTAAGGGAGCATTCTGTTCCATCAGTTCTTGGACGGCTGCTGGATCCAATAACAGCCCTTCCCAGCACAGGCACTGTTTGCCTTGCTGTGTAACACCTTCACATCACAAATTAGTCACACACGTTCACTCAAATACTAACAAGTTCTCCTCTTACCTCCCTTTTGTACATGTATTTACTGCTTCAGTCTATCAGGTGTAGCCAAGTTGCAAACATTTGATGCAAAAACAACAGAAGAAAGGTAAAACAAGGAACTTTTTTACTATAAACACTCTATTTTTGATCAAACCACTGGGTGTCAGTGTCCTCTCACATGGATATTGCTGTAACTCTGTCTTCATGGCAGTCCAGCTGTTTTTTTACCATCCCTTCTGTGCTGGGAGCTCTCCACACTCTCATTCAGGACTGTATTTCACAATAAATGTTTTGCTTCCACTGGCTGTTTCAGGATATTTTCAACTCGGTGATTGCAGCGTTGTTCCTCCTCGTTGTGGCCTTGTTTGCAATAATAATCAAGACCAACAAGGGAATATTGGCTGGAGGAGTAAGTAGGAGCATTGTTAATGAATTTCAGTTCTTAGAGTGCAGCGATTTGAACCTCTTGGTACATTCACATTGTGGTAGGACCATGCAAACAAAACTGTTCTGTCTTGGAAGAACACTCAGCAATAGCAAACAAGTTTCATCCAGTGTATCTCACTAAAAGAAAATAATCTTCACATCACTAGTAATCTAAAGATGTTACAAGACTTTGGAATTACTGCAGAGAAGTATTGAAACACTGAACATTTCTAGAATTTTGAAGTAACCTACATTTGCTACCATAGCTTGAAATCCTAGGAGGGAGAATCCCTAGCTCTTTTAGGACTACCCAGTTTGGTTACTATGAGAAAAAAAGCCAACTGTTTTATTAAAAGAGGTGAAACTTTTTAACAGACACACTGGTACCTCCCTCCTGGACTGTACATTGCTTTTTGTGATGCAGACTGAGGAATTACGTCAGTTAAAAAGGGGTTTTGTTCATACTGATTGTAAGAATTTTGTGTTCTTAAGATGAAATCAGTTTAATAGTTTGAGTAACTGGTATTTTTAATTCAAATGGCAATTAATGTAATTAACCTTAATAAACAGTAAGGAGGGGAAGAAAACCCCTCAGTTTTGAAAGTCTCTAGAAGTACAAAATAAGCTGAAATGTGACAAGCAACCAAAAGAAACCTAAAAGCTGCCACAGAGCTCTTTCAAACTCAGCTTAGGAGATGGTGAGGTGGAAAGCTGATGGCTTCACTGGCAGTGGCATCCTAAGCAAAAAGGAGACTTTCTGATAGAGTGACTGTGCTGGAATAGAATTTATATTCTCAATTGTGAAGTTCACAAAAATTAAAGGTGGGAGCAGGAGACCAAGCAGGTAGCTGGGAACACAGGTTTGAGTGGAACATGTGACATCTTCAGTGCTGGAAGGGACAGAATCACCCCCAGCCTGTTCTCCTGAGGCACAAACTGCCTTGAGCTGTCTTCTCCCAAGAGTTCTCCTGAAAATAACTCCCCTGATCAGATAATGCAGTGCTTGCATAAAAAAACCCAGTGTGCATGTGGGATGGGGCTGAAGGGCAGGAGCTGAGTTAACTCAGTGGCTTTTCTGCAAACACATTTTTCCAGTTATCTTCCTGTGGTTGTCTATTTTTTAAATAATTCAGTACATTTTCTTCAATTTGGAATGTTTCCCATTCAGAGCTTCAGAGGAGAAGAGCATTTTCGTGCTGGGCTTGTTTCTAGGAATACTGACTTTCCCTTGACTTTTCTCAGGGCCAGTCCCATTAATTAAGCAGCCCTTAAAGGGACAGAAGAGCTTTCATTTAGGATAAAAGCATTGTCTGGCATAATGCAGCATTAGCTTAGCTTTCAAGGAGAGCACCACGCTACCTCCAAGGCCTGACACAAACATCAAACAGAGCAGGCTATAGACAGCTCTCTGAAAGCCTGATGGGATGTAAATGTGGGTGTTATTTATCAGCTGTCTCAAATCACACACATTTTCAAGGCCAGAAACAAGTATATGTTTGCTGATGAGTCACTACAGTAAAAGTTCAAGACTGATTGGGGGAACTAATTTTATGGTCATTTTTATAGGTGTTGGGTCTTATATTGCTTGTTCTCTGCATTGTCGACGTGGTTCTTCTTTGCAAGAAGATTAGCCTTGATAAAGCAAGAGGAAGGAGTGCTCCTGCCAAATAAGAATGACATGTTAGTGAAAGAATAAGTTCTCCATTCTGTTTTCGCATTCTCTTTTAAAGAGTTTGCATTTTCACACGCTCACTTTTGAATTTCTTGTGCACTGATGTTTCTGCAAGTATCATTCATAAGGTTTTGTACGTTTACAAATGCAGTTTCAGCATTGCAATTTCACCAGTTAAAGCTTCGGAGAAAATTGTCGTGTTTTTCTAAACTTAATTATGTTTTTACCTGTATGAAAATTATTTTCATGGTTGTCTTCTTTCTCTAATAAAAAGAAAATACAAACAGGCCTAAATGCATTATTTAATCTTATTTACTAAGTGTAAAAAAGTACATTAGAGTAAATGTACCTTTTAAAGTAAAGTAAAAATGTAATGACCCAGTAACCATCCTTCGGAAAGATTTTCTTGTGCCATGTGAATTTCATGTTAAAGCGTTCGCCGTGGCATCTGGATCCTGAAATGTCAGCCTTGAGCGGGGTTTGGGCTGGGTGAGCTCCAGCGGCGCCTCGCCTCCCCAGCGCCCGGCGATCTGTGTGTTCGGGGCGGCAGGAGCGGAGTTCTTGGCTCCCTGCTGTCGGTCCCACAGCACAGGGCCAAGGTGGCAGCCCAGCTCCATTGTCCCGGGGCTGGGGGCGGGCGCTGGGGCCGCCCCCCACAGCTGGGGATGCTGAAACTTTTTTTTTTTTTTTCACGTTTCCGCAGTGTCACGATTTCCGCTTCCCTCCTTCAGAGAGAAAAAAAAAATTAAAAAAAAATTCCACGGCCAACCCCCTACCTCGAGCCTGAGCCCGAGCCCGGCTCGAGCTCAGCCCAGCCCAGCCCAGCCCGGCCCGCGCCCACCCCGCCTGCTGCCGCGGCCATGGAGGACCCCGAGTCCGCGGGGGGCACACCACCGCCCGGGCTGAGCTCGCTGCTCCCCCCGCGGGAGTTCTTGCGCTCCCGCAAAGGGCAGCTGCTGCTCGCAGAGTCGGTAAGGACGAGACACCGGGGCTGGGGGGCTGCGGGAGCCACCCCCGGGGCAGCCGGGACCCGAGCGGGCTCCGCCCGACCGACCTGCCCGGGCCGCTCCCTGTGCGGCTGAGGGGAGAGGGGCAGCAGCTGCGGGGAAAACGGGGGAGAACAAGCGAGGGGAGACGGGGGCAACAACTGAGGGGAAAAATGGGGAACAGCAACCGGGGGGAGATGGGGGCAACAGCTGAGGGGAAAAATGGGGAACAGCAACCGAGGGGAGATGGGGGCAACAACTGAGGGGAAAAATGGGGAACAGCAACTGGGGGGAGATGGGGGCAACAGCTGAGAGGAAACGGGGAACAGCAACTGAGGGAAAAACTGGGGGAACAACCGAGGGGAAAACCGGGAAAAAACAAGTGAGAAGAGCCGTGGGACAACAACCAAGGGGAAAACTGGGG